GAAGGAAGGAAGGAAGGAAGGAAGGAAGGAAGGAAGGAAGGAAGGAAGGAAGGAAGGGTATTTTGCTGTTGGTGAAAGCAACCTGTCTTAGCCTCGGTTTCCCAATCTGTCAGGTGGGGGCAAGCTGAGCTCGATATCCCATGAACCCAGTCCCAGGCACTGATTTCCTTGGAAGGGGCAGCACCCTTCACGTTTAATAGCAGCCTCTTTTCTTGTCTTGGGAGAGGAACAGGAAAGAAGGCTCTGCTGGCACCAGCTCTGGGTGGACCCTCATCCAGCTGTGGGCTCTGCAGCCCAGTGCACAGCTGGGCTTTTCATTTCCAGCTGCAGCTTTCCATGTTGAAAATAAGCTTTAAATAGCAGCGGCTGTGAGGCAAAGAATGCTTGCCGGTCGAGGCCTTTTGGGCTGGCGGATGAGTCTGGGGAGATAAACAGGCAAACACATGGGGCACAGAGTTTAAATAAGTAGATACTGACTTTACCACAAGCATGGCTAAAAATAAGTGTGGAATGCAGCCACACCCTCATGTTCTTCTCCCTGAGCAACACACACACACACACACACACACACACACCACAGAGGAAGATATATATATATATATTAGTGTTTTTGAGACAGGGTTTATCTATGTAGTTTTGGTGCCTGTCCTGGATCTTGCTCTGTAGACCACGCTAGCCTCGAACTCACAGAGATCCACCTGGCTCTGCCTCCTGAGTGCTGGGATTAAAGATGTGCGCCACCACCGCCTGGCTCTTTAAGTACATCTTTAAAAAAAAATATTTGTTTTTATTTATGTGAACATATGTATGTCTAGCATCTGTTAATAGAAGAGGATCAGGGTTTTCATACTCACAAGATGTACCTGGGGAGGGGCACGGTGGCTGAAGAACTGACTCAGCCATTAAGAGCACTTACTGCTCTATCAAAGACCCAGCAGCTCACAGCCATCTGTAACTCTAGATCTGGGGATTTAGGTGCCCCCTCCTGGTCTTTGAGGACACCCACAGGCATTGTACTCACATACACACACACACACACATGCACACGCACACACACACACACACACACACACACACACACACACACACACACGAGTGCCCCCTTTATTTCCAAGATACAAAAGTTGAAACTCAGAAAGGGAAAGTAACTCACTTTGAGAGTATACAGCAGGTTGGTGGCTGAGTCCAGCCTCCAGATCTTTGAAACCTTACCAGGCTCTGGTCAGTTTGGAGTTGACCTGGCTCTGTAGACCCTGAATCATGCATAACACATGAGAGGGCAATTCCTCTCCCCCGTTGCTGGCTTACAGTGGCCTACCCCAGCCCCAGTGACTTGGTCATTAGGCCCAAGGCAGTTACTTTGCACTGGCCCCTCCTTAGTCTCCAACCTAAACAGACAGAAGGGGAGGCTGGCACAGCTTCCAGCCATCCCTGGGGACAGAGGAGCTACCTTTCCCCTACACGGTAGAGTGTCAATCCCTGCTCCCTCCCAGCCTCACTTTCCACTCCAGGGACAGCTGGGTTGCACAGGGTAGGGCCAGGGCCAGCAAATGATGACTTAACAGAAGCTTTTAGAGAACAGCCTCTGCCCTAGCCAGGGGTATTGGGCAGCAAATCAGCTCTGCTTTCGCCTGCCAGGCCATAGATATCTAGTGGGGAAGCCATGAGCAGAGATAGTGACTTGATATAAAGTCCTGGGCTAAAGGACCTCTTTGGATCATCTTGTACTAATTGTAACATTAGGATGTCAGACTTCAATAGAAAAAAACCAATTGCAATAAAAGTATAGATAGTTCTGATTTTTTGGCTCAGAAACCACCTTGCCCAAGGAATTTGAGTGAATTATTTTCTCTCCCTAAGTTGTGAGTTCTTTGTCTAGTAGAGGCTTGGTAAAGAACTATCATGTGGCCCACAATGGCAAGCCACTAGTAGTGGCTGTCAGAATGGTGTTCAAATTTCTGATGCCACTCCAGACTTTTGAGGGGAAAATACTGTATGATTGATTAGTAATGTCTGCCACATACACAAGAGGGGTATGGGGAGGTTGGTGTGCTGCATATCTGCTGCTTTTGGAATCCCTTAGTCCTTTCCAGATGTTACATCTTGGATATTTGATGTTTCTTATCCCCTCCATTTGTGGTCACCCCTGATGCCACAGGGATGACTGTACATTGAGTCCTTTCCTTTTGCCTTTATTTGTTCTGGAGAGAGTTGAAAACTCAGCCCAGGCCGCCAGCAGGACCCAGTCACATGGTCTGGAGGGTGCAGAGGCATCAGGAACTCCTCCAGCCTGGTCTAGACAAAGTGAAACGTGGCACTTTAGGAGACTCTGTGGAATTTCAGCAGGGCTGTGTCCAGCCACAAACTCTGGAGCCGCCTCTAAGCTGCCCAGAACCAATTCTAGGTTTTAGCATCTGTGACACCCCAACCGCTTCCCATAGCTTCATCCCTTCCAACAAGAAATAGAAATAAAAACAAAGAATCTGGTGCAAGGGGGGAGAGGGGGCACTCCAAAATCCACTGCGCTAACTCAGAACAGACAGGGACCTTAGGGGCTTCCTTGTCCAAGGGTATCTGGCTGTTTCTAGGGGAACCTAGAGCTATTTCAAGAGGCTTGGGATGTTGGGGTATGCAATTCCACTTCTATTATACTGAGCTCTCCCTGTGTGTGTGCGCGTGCGTGCGTGCGTGCGTGCGTGAGTGCGCTTGTGGAAGCCAGAGTCAGCCTTAGCTGTTGCTCCTCAGCTCCCTGTACTTTGTTTTTGAGACAGGGTCTTTCACTGGCCTTTATCTTGCAGATTCAGCTGGACTGGCTGGCCAGCAAGTCCCAGATTCCTATGTTTCTGCTTCTCCCCAGTGCTGGAGTTACAGGCGTGTGCTGCCACGCCTGGCTTTTACCTGAATACTGGGGGTCTAAACTCAGGTCCTCATGCTAGCCACAGCAAGCACTTTATCAATTGACACCCTCATCTCTGTTTTTGTTTGTTTGTATTTTTAATTTCATGCATAGACATAGTCATATGGTCCAGCAAAGGCCTTGGTCTGTTAGGGGCACTGCTCTTCCGGGGCAGGCTTTCTCAACAAGGCCTTCACACTGGCAGCATTTCAAGGTTCAGTAACCCCTGTGGCCTGACCTGGTAGTGCCCAGCACTCAGGAAACAGAGGCAGGAAAATCACAGATTTGAGGCTAGCTTTGGTTACATAGTGAGACCTTGTCTCAAAAAACAAAAACAGCCCCCTCACCCCAAAACCCCCAAACCAACCAAAGTGGGTGTAGTGATTCAGGCCTATAAATCCCAGTGTTTGGAAGGTAGAGGCAGGAGGATCTGGCATTTGAGACCATCTTTGGCTACAGATCAAGTTCAAGGCCAGCCTAGCTCCCTGAGACCCTTAGGAAGTTTTCTGAGATTGCGTTTCTCCACACACTTTCCATCCAAGGTCGGTCGTCCTAAGAGTCTGTGGTTCTGAGTCACACTGTCTAAACGCCCGCAGTTCCAAGGTTATCCCTGGGTTTTGATACTCAGTGGCTTCTCCATGTACACAGGGAGCTCCCAGGAGCCCCTTTAGGTTTGATGGGAAGTGAGCTGGGGGCTGGCTGTACTTTTCCATCCCAACTCTTCCATCCGAAGAGCTAGACCAGTGACCTCTGCTTCGGGTCCTGCTGGCAGCCCAGGCTGAGTTTTCAGCTCTCTCCAGAACAAATAAAGGCAGAAGGAAGGGACTCAATGTACGGAACAGGGGAGGGGGTGCCAGGGTGCCGACCAGGGGTGTCTGTATTTGGCGGTCACCAAGCCAAGGGTAATACACCTCCACTTCCTCCCCTGCCCAGGGCATTTTTCCTACCCACGCCTCAGGCCAGTTTGGCCCAAGTGGGCACCATCTTGATGACCATCCCAGGAGCAGGTAGCTGCCAAGGGAAACATCACACAGGGTTGAGAGACCATGCTGAGACCTGTCACTCATGTGCTGGGCTGCTAGCAAGGGTATGGATCTTCCTTTCTAGGCCTCATTTTTCTCTTGGGCAGAAAGACCTGCCTCAGGCCATCCCTGGAAAGTTGGCTTGTGAAGACTCTGAAGGTGTTTGTATGTTCCCCAGTCTGTAGGACCCAGGTTTGAGTGTGGAAGATCACGACTACCTTGTACTGACTACAGGGTCTTAACCCTGTGCTCTGACCTGGCTGGGGTGACTGTTGCGCCTCCAGCTGGCTCTGAAGGGTGGTCCCCAGCCTCTTTGGCTAGAGGTATAATATAGAACCTCAGAGATGTGTCTCACGGGCAAGCCGGGAATGTAGCTCTTCATCCAGAGTAGTTAAGGGGCTCCCCTATCTGCTCACCCTGACATCTTGAGGAAAAGGATTCTGGGATTGGTGGAGCAGCACAAGGCAGAACTAAGATGTGGACAATGACCACAATGAGAGTTTGTATGTCTGTTTTCTCCCTACCCTTACCCAGCCTCGGGCCTTAAGGCCATGAAGCACTGGGACTTAGTGCCTGAGACAGGGCATATGAGAGAGTGGGATGGTGGAAGAAGGACCGTCTTGGGGTCCCAAGATCCCCTCCTTCTTCTGCTCAGACGGGGCACCCAGACTCAGGAGTCGTCTCTCTAACCCTCTAACCTAAAACTGAAACCAGGCATGCCTGGTCCTAGCCTGGCTCTCTCTCCAGTGACTTCGCTTCTCTGCTGTTGAAGCCTGGCCTGGGTGACACGTGGGCTCTAGCTGCCAGCCCCGCTTTGATCTTTCCATTCCAAACAGCCTCAGACAAGTCCCTCATTGATGCTCTCCCTCCTGGTCCGTCGGCCCAAAGCCACACACGGAGGATGTTGAACTCGTGTTTTCCAAACGGAGAAGCGAGAAGGGAAACAAGTGAACAGCTGTGAGAGGGGGAAGAATGTTCCAGAAACTGACTAGGAAAGGAAGCCAGAGCTGTCCTGAAGCAATGACAAGCTTCCAAACCAATTCACTGACTCCTTTATAGCTTTGCTTCGTGCCGACACCATGAAGGGGGGGTGAGGCTCTTTCCAGCTTCAGCTAGCACCGGACCGCTGTGGTCCATTTCTCCTCTACCTGTTCTGCTACTCTGGTCCCATCGGAATAGTTCTGTGGTGCTGTAGATGGAGTTCAGGGCCTTGTGCATTCTAGCCAAGCTCTGTACTGCTGTCCTCAGCTCAAAGATGTTTGGAACCTGGACCTTTTTTTTTCCCAAATACTATTACCCAAGGGAAGACGGTGGATACTGGAGGAGGGGATATGTCAAGACAGCTTTCCTTGTGTGTGTTTGTTTGGTGTCAGGGACTGAAAGAAAGCTAAACATATGCTCCACTCCTCTGCTACACCCCGAGCCTTCCATTACTGTAAGCATTTTATTTTTATTTATTTTATTTTATTTTTTTTCTGGTTTTTCAAGTCAGGGTTTCTCTGTGTAGCTTTGCGCCTTTCCTGGAACTCGCTCTGGAGACCAGGCTGGCCTCGAACTCACAGAGATCCGCCTGCCTCTGCCTCC